GTATGAGGGCCGCCCGAGAATGCAGCAATGGCGCGTTTGCTCCAGATCTCATAGAGATGACCAAGATTCTGAGGGGGTCCACCGCCGGCAAATCGGAACTCGATGTCGAACTGCGTCTGAGTCTCACAAAATACACGGGCGACCGTAAGACAGTTCGAATGAATCGGCAACAACGGTATCTGGTCGCTTGTGCATAAGTCATGCTTTCTGTCGCCGGCAGTCTCGATGTTACTGTAGCCGCCCATGAACTCTGTGACTGAGAGCTCTACGATCATGCTGTCGCCCTCACGATTGTAGGTACGGGTGGCACGGGGCTCTTGTTTCTGCCACTCGGGGAACTCGGGCCTAGCAGTGACAAGGCTCAAACGCATCCAGCCTGGTAAGCTGTTGACGGACTTGACGACAGAATTGAAGCCATGGATGGCATAATCGAGATCATGACTAGGCTTGCATACACCACCGCAGATAACACAAACTACGGCCTCCTTCCAATTTTGCACCTCAGATGTACTCGAGACAGGAGTGTTCCAGAAGTTGGTGGCAGCTGAGGCAGTAGGGACAGGGGGGGCGAGCTGCAATATTTGCAGAGCGATCGGGGGGATACCACCAGTAAGGTGGTTTGGAGTAGTATAGTAGTGTGCCAGAGCGTTGGCAAGTAAACCACCACCACTGACGGCATTCTGAGGGTTAGCGTTAGGACCAGCGTTGGCAGCAGGATCATCACCACCATTGGCACCACCGTTAGCGTCACCATGAGCATCAGCGTCGGGACCAGCGTTGGCAGCAGGCTCAGCACCACCATTGGCACCACTATTAGGATCAGCGTCAGGACCAGTGTTGGCAGCACGGTTGCCACCACCATTGACAGTCTGGTTGCCATCACGGGCGCCACCAGGGTGTTCGTCGTCCATGATGGTAGATGGACGTTGCCCCATCAGAATTGAAGGATAGAGATGTTGGTATCAGAGAATAGGCGGTGTCAAAGAGAAAGGACCGTGATGACCAAATCACATGACTCAGAGTGGGATTCAACGTTTCCGCGCATCGAATGTCGAATGGCAATAGCTTCGTTCCGTGATTGCTGAAGGAGACAGGAGCGAACGTGTGCTGTCGGGCATATGATAGGGACGGGGCGAGACAACGAGAGTAGAAAAGATCAGGCAGTATGGTTCGAATGAAGCCTGAGCGAGCGATTGAACGTCGACAGCAGAGAACCTTGCGACACGTGTCCGTCGGGGCTGTTCTTTCATCAGAAGGAATTGATTAGTGACCATAAACTCAGCAGCTTGTCTGGGAGACGCTCTGAAACAAAGTTCAGGTACGTTACTAGACCGCAGTCCGGCGTTGCTTTAGGGTTTCGGGGGAAAACTGTTGGGGATAGCTCAACCGGTAGCGCAAAGGGTACATACCGATATTCAGGCGCCTACAGCGCAGTCTCGCAGGCGGTATTTGCTCGTTCACTGCTTTGCGCGCTCTGCGACAGAGGGATAGTTCGTCAGGCAGGGCTGCGACAAGTACTGGGAGAGAATCGGGGGCCGGAGAAGTTGAATGCCACTGCGATCGACACGCGGGGAGAGGGAATTCGAGCAGTAGCTGGCGGCTGGAGAGAAGTGAAAGGCTTGACTTACTGGCAAGATAAACAACCGGATGGGCTCGCGGAGTCTCTTGCTGACCCAACCGAGGCGCGAAGTGATCCTGTACTCTCTGTCTCGAGGCTATACCGAGTCTGTGTAGTACGAGTCTTCAGGGAACGTGGGAAAGGTGAGTATGAAAAGGTTGGAGTTGCTGGATTGTGGGGAGGATCAGCTGGAGAGTGTCAACACGACAGGTAAACAACCGTCGTGGAAGGAAGGGAAGTAAACGAAACGACGTAGTCGCAGAGGGAAAAGACGTGGGTCACCGCGTTCTCTTTCCTCGTTTGGAACAGCGACTATGCGGCGACAGCACGGCTGGCTACATGCATCAGTCACTTTAGAGAGCCCGCCTTATCTGATGTATTCGTCAGAAGGAATGATGGGCTGCAATCTGCGGAAGAGATATGAGTGATGAAGAAGACCTAATCGAGCGGGAGCAGCTTGATGTTATTTGCCTTGTCGAGACACGTCTTGGAGAATCTGTCAGGAAGGGGCAAAGGCTTCTGAAAGGCTCGGCACTACAATCAGGGCACTGAGTGGCTTTTGATAGCGAGATCAATCAATGAGGCATCACAAATCTCGGGCAAGCATGACCAGCCTACATCGCCGTTGACGGTTGGAGTATTCTGCAGACGGCGAGCTTTGATGGACAAGCAGTGGTAGTCTGTAGAAAAAGAACGGGGCCCTTGTAGCATCGACTACGTCTCGCAGTGAGACTCTGCGCACTAGGGAGATAGAACCGCTTCAAAAGCGTGACGAAAAGATACCTAGTCAAAGGCAATCCGTATTGTCCCAATTTCACGGGTCTGTCAGGGTTGCTTCATGCGTGTGCCTTTGAAAGACCACTATATTGAAAGGGCCACTCTGTCAGGGTTCAAGTGATATGGGAGATTGATAGAGGTAAGACATGAAACATGATATGAACAAGTGGCATTGAAGGTGGACGAAGTTTATGTAAGGTACGGTTGGTGATGGATCGAAAAAGGGTTGTTAGATACATAGAACTTCAAGTTGCTTCAAGTGACTCCTCATTATAGCTTAGGTCCCGTCCCAGCACAGGGCAGCGGACATCGGAGTAGGGATACACCGGCCACCCGCCTCCCTGTACGACGTGAAGTGATGTCAGCCTACCTACAAGTCAAGCACCTCCTGGCGCAGTAGTATTTTCCTAGGGGGAGCTAATTGAAAGCCTCCTGGATAATGTGGGATCGAACTTGGGTTGAAGGTGTTCTCAACGTGAGTGGTAGGAGGATTCCACCTATTACCAACAATAGATTTGCTTGACAGTGCCATGGATGTCTACATGCACCTAGGTATATTTAAGAGATGGTTGGAATACACCTTCTAGAGAATGCGGATGGCCTTGGCAACTTACAGTCTTTGCAGTGCAGCTATTCAAAAGATGTTTGGAACAAATTGTCAGTTGCTGCATTGCGTTAAACCACTCATTACAGCAAAAATTCACCCGTCTGGGGAATCGAACTCCCAGAGCCTAGCGAAAGTAATAATATTTAGTACCTATCTTAGGAGATAGAACCGCTAGGCCATACCAACTCGGGTTGAAAGCCAGCAGCTTAAACATATTTATATACTTGGATCCTGAGTACTAGATGTATAGAGTGCTGCGATTGGTAGGACGTGAAACTCTAAGTCGGCCACTGCCTATGGCTGTAGTATGGACATGTGATAGTGGAAAAAGGCGGCTAGTCTGCAGTCTAACATAGCACGCATGTGTAGCAAGAAAAGCTATTCCTCATGAACAGATTCGGTCTTCCAATCCTATTTGGTCGCGGTTGACAGGAGGCGCTATTGGATATCAAAGGATCAGTCAAGCATCGAGACCCTTTGGCTCGACTGGAGCCACAAGCAGATCGCAGAGTATGAAGGCTTTTATTATTTCAACTTACGACATATTTGGAACATGGCGAAAAGAAAGTATGAAAAGGAGATGTGTTCAATAACTGTGGCGATGACAGTGTATTGTGAGACACGAGTCTGAAAACCTGGGATACACTTGCCACCACCACGTCGTGGCATCAAGGCCTGTATCAAACCCTTCAAAGTTCTGTCTAGATGAAATAGCTACCTAGTGTGGCCATCTTACCATATAGCTAGCAAAGCACCGGCAAATGTCAGAAGAAGGTGCGTTACAAGAAACATGATCAATTCAGCATTGCGAGGATCATAACAATATGATATGGGTCAGCAGATGCAACATACATATGTGCCTTTATACCACGGTACAGAACTGAGAGGGTTGAGAGTCACGTCGTTGTCATGACTTTCACGCGTCAATACATGATTATGCTCTGTCTTGCCTTATGGGGAGTCTATCTGAAGAGAGAGAGAGAGAGAGAAAGTCGGGAAAAGTACATGGGGCCTTTAGAGAGGCATGTTGACACGCATACAACATTGGTAGACATGTCACATAACCCACCATTGCTTACGCATGATACAAGAGTCGAAAACTTGCTGAGTGACCATAAGGACCCACGGTGTGCAGTTGACGTCTACAGCTTTTCCATTGCTAGGGTTTTCATCTCTAGCCACGTTGAACTAGGGACGACAAGTGTGTTCTATGGCTACTGTTTAAATTCCAAATTCGAATAATTCCAAAAAAAAAGAAAAGAAAAAGAAAAAAAAGAAAAAAGAAAGAAAAAGAAGAAGAAAACAAGGGAAGTGCCTCAACCGGGAATCAAACCCGGCTTATGCACTGGCCGCAGTCTCGAATATTCGATTCGAGGGGCAGATGCACTTCCATGACCATTGGACCATTGGGGCTTGTTTTTGATAGTTAGATTACTATCCAGATACATGAAGCACCGGCTTGGTCTATGACATAAGGGAGTGTCGTCGTAAGTGGTGAGGTGGGGGTGAAGGATAGCAGATCGCCGAGAGCATGGCACCGAGCACTGGCAGCAGAGTTGTAGTTGATATGATGATCACAAGGGAGGCAGTTATGTTAATGTTCACAAATTGGTGTCAACCAGTCCTGAATGCATACGCGAATCCGAAAAGGGCTCATGATACATACTCATATCGTTCAACCCCTTGAGCCGAGTCACCAGGCACACTAACCTACCACCTGCAATCTCTTACCAACAATACATAACGCACCTATGACTACACCCCTGGCACAGTATCCCTAAGCTCCCTCGCAAACCAGTATCATTGGTCTTCTCAAAGAGGTAGGTAGATAACAAACCTCACTACAAAGGCTCTCAACTTACAAGAACGACTACATAGCCAAAAGGAAGGAATGTGATGAAAAATATCTTAATTCAAATGCTTATGTCGCTTTATGAAAGCACACTTGAGTTCTAAAACGCTTAGGAAGAAAATTGGGGGAGGAGAGAAAAAGAAGTATACCCCGACCGGGAATCGAACCCGGATCCGAAATACCCCCTTCAATCTCAATTTTAGTTGAGACTGTAAGAGGCATCGCCGTCTTGACCATTGGACCATCGGGGCTTGGTTAGCGATAATGGGAACAGCTCGGGTATATAAAGCATGACCTGCACGACCGAAGTATTGCCGTCTACAAGTAATGAAATCGGGTGGGGTGAAGGCTGGTGAGTGTGGTATCAGGAACCTTCTTTATCTACCACCACCTTTTCATGTCTTTTCAGCTGGTTATGATATGTGATGACGCAGGATCAGCCTCCGTCCTATAAAGCCTCTCACATCAACACTTCACAACACCTCACAACACCTCACAAAGTCGAAAAGCCACCTCAATACAACAAACACGTCTTTCATTCCAGCCCATTCGGCCATGTTATGAACAAGTATGAGTACTGCAAACATTATGTACTCCAGGCTCCAAACCTTTTTACCACCCAACAAAGAGAGGTATCATGCAATCAAGAGTACTCGCCCTATCAATAAAGCCAAGTAGAGTATAGTCAAACTCAAACCCCAACAAGCCCCTACAACAAAACATCTCCCAGGGGTGACATTAGTTCAACCTCGGACTCTTCCTCCTCCCAACACTCTGCGAAAAGATCTCCTTCCCACCCCCAGGCACAAGCGTCGCGAGCGAGGACAGCGGCGGTAGATTCTCCCTCCCATCGACACTCAGCGTCTTCTTCGCCGGTTTGCTCCTCGAAGTCCTACTCTTCTTAAGCAGCGGCATCGTCACATCCATTTCCTCAACTATATCCGCATCAGCGCCCATCGTCATGCTAGGTCTCGAGTCGAAGCCGAACCGATCGTTGATATTAGGATGTAGCTCCCTCAGACTCATACCCATCGGGTTCCGTCCTCGGTCGCCAAGAGGTGCTACCTCGTCGTCTGTAGGCGGTCGAGATGGTGACCGGTTTTCTGCCAACGTGGGGTCCGCGTCGTTGAAGACGCTAGCTTTGCTAGGCGACGGCTCTCCGTTGAACTTGGCAAGCAGATGCTCGTGTGCCTGCGTGCGCGGCAGCTCCGTGGGGAATTCGTATGACATCTTTTGTGGTGTATTGCCCGTGGCTCTGTACTCTTGGATAACCGTGTTATTTATATCTTCGCGAAGGTCGGCAAGCGGTTTGTTCAGGTCTGCCTCGAACGGCTCTAACGTCTCTTCGGCAGCCCTAACACTGGACTCCATTTCTGTTCCAAGCTCCTCTACCCGTGAGCATGTCGTTTCGAAGTGATCTCCGATCTTGGTGTAGGAGTCTTCTACTGTATTCGATAGACTCTGGAGGGACTCGGCGTGTTGCTCGTCGTGCTGTGCGTTTTGCGAGCGAGCTCGGGTGACAAAATCATCGAGCGACGCCATCTGCTCATCTAGATCCTTAATCTGCTCATCCACGACGCGTACTGTCTCCGCATGAACAGAGTTGGTGACATCCTGGATCGATGTGCTGTATTCGTTGGCCGCCTGCATACTGTTAGCGCCACCCATATTACATAGTCTTCTTTGTGTTCACATACCGCCCAGTCATCCTGCGTTTTGGTCTTCAAAGCTTCGCGTGATGTTGCGATGTCGTCCAGGAAGGCATCCTCTTGTCTATCCCAGTTCTGCATACCTTCGTTGTACTCCGATATGCTGTTCTCTATCGCCGCGTTGTTTCCGCGAACTGTCTGTTGAATAAAACCTGCTTTGTTAGCGAGGCGTGTCTCCTGAGCTTCGGCTTGAGAGTTGACAAGGCTTGTGATCTGGGCTAGGAGAGCGCGACGTTCTTCAGCAGCTTGCACTCGTTCCTGGTTGATCACATCTTGTATCTGGGCCGAGACAGACTCATTAGTGCGCATGATCGTCTCGCTAGCGGTACGCAACTGCTCTCTAAGGTTATCGGACTCTTTCCGCTGCGCAAAAATGTGGTTCAACAGATTCTCGAAGATAGTCTTGAAGTCCGTGCCCAAGGTTGAATAGGAGGTGTGGAGGAAGTTGTGGAAAGCACCCAGCTCGCTCAAGACGTCATGAGAGATAGTCTCCGCGGCTGTAGCAATAGCGCGAAGGCTATCACCTACGCGACTTTTGATATGATCACGTACTTCTTTGATCTCTTCCAGCACTTCATCCATCTCCTCTTTGGATTTCCGCTTGCGATCCAAGAGCTCATGTTTAGAATGTGCAAAGACCTCCAAATTGTGGTCTAAGAATGACTGCGTGGCGGAGAGTTTCTCTAGTTCTGCCTCTACGAAGGCCTGCATTCGGCCCGAGATGGAGGTTAAATGTTGTTGCTGCTCGCTCTGAAATTCGTCGATACGTCCTTCCACGAGCGATGTAATGTGAGAAACCTGTTCCTGAGCCATACTCCAGTTCGTACGGTTGAGGGCCTGTAAATCAGACTTCCTCTTATTTTTCGCATGCAACCCCCCCACGTGACCGACGGTCTTCTGCAATGTGTTGATAAGCTCACCGCCAACCACGTGCATCCGTTCCTCCGTTTTCTGATGAGCTTCACGCAGATGGGTTTCTGCGGCGAGATTTTTGCGGGTTGCTTCTAGTACAAGTTCAGTCTGATCGAGAACACCCTTCGCCTCGTCTAGTTGCACCTTGGTCGCATCGTGATCCTTCTTGAGCCCCATAAAGTTGGAGGTCAATGAGAAGAGCTCTTGCACTTTGTTTCGTAGGTTGGATTCTAGGGTTTCTAACTTTGCGGCCTGTTCTTCGTTCTGAATCCGTCGAGACTCGCTCACCACTGCCATTTCTTCGTAACTTTCATTCGATAGATAGACTCCATTGCGCTGACGCGTGGCAATGAGCTCGCTCTTGAGCTTCTCGATTTCGTGTGTGAATTCCCGGAGCAGAGCATCTTTTCTGATCATTTGGTTGACCTGGGGCTTGTTGCGGATATTCTTGGCTCTGAAGGCATAATCCAACGTGGATATGGTCTCCTCCAGATTACTCTTAGCTGGCGAAATGGTAGCAATTATGCATGTTTTCGTTCGGCCACCAAGGGAATCTTGCAAGAGGCGCGTGAGCTTCGACTCTCGATATGGAATATGTGAGCTGCGATCGACGAGAGCATTGATAACCCTCCCCAGAGTAAGCAGACTCTTGTTGATTAGACCGGCTTCGGCGGCGCGCTGCTTCTCTGCGCCGGATCGCCCGATGTTCTCACTACCGGCGAGATCGACCAGGTTCAATTTGCCTGCACTGACCCAATCCTCGCCATCCTCCCCGGTCCTCTTGATGCAAGCCGTTATGGTGAAAACGGTATGACTTCGACTGCTAAGATCATTGCATTTCGTCGCCGCGACTTGTCGTTTGTAGCTTCCCCTCTGCAAGAGTTTTATGCCCTCGGCGGCACTGCTAATGTGAGCCTCTTCTACTCCTTGGACGACAGTGCTGGTATGCCCTCTGCGAGAGTTGTCGTCGAAAATCTTCAGCTTCACACTTTCTTCTACCGACATGAGGTCTCGGAGTTCTTCGTTGTAGAGTTCGATAAATGAGCATTTCACGAAGCTCTCGGTGTCTTCGGCATCCAGCTTTTTGAACAGGGAGTGTAGTACTCGGGGTATGATGCCAGCGGCATCGGGCAATATGCCGTATGTCTCGTTCATATCTCCCGACATGGTATATGTCTTGCCAGTGCCGGTCTGGCCGTATGCGAAAATGGTACAGTTGTAGCCGCTAAGTGTCTACGTGATGGTCAGCTGAGGCATTCTACGCGACGTTATCGATGCGGCGTCGGCATACTTCTTCTAGGATAGGTTTCACGACGTCTTCGTAGATCATAGCCTGGTCGGCAGCCTGAGAGAAGACGCGATCGAAGTTGTAAGTCTTGTTGGCGAGGGCACTTGGACCCATAGAGATCTCAACGGCCTTTCCCTTGACGCGTTCGGTAGAAACGACGACGGCACTGTTCTCGTCTACTTCGTTCTGAGTTCGGCCGCGACATCGTACGACAACGTTGATGTTGGTCTCCAGAGCCGAAGTGTCGAGGTCGAACTCGCGTTCCTTGCGCTTGTTTCCAGATGTAGCGACGGACATCATGGAGTCAGCCGGAGACGGGGCGACCGTGCGATCGATGCGGGCGGCAACGGCAGCATGATGGTACATGGGCTGTCTGAGAGTAGACTGTCTGGATGAGGAGGTAGTTGAGGACGTGGCCGGTCTGGACGACGAGGCTGTAGAAGACGTGGTCGGTCTCGTGGGTCTGGTAATCCTCGAGGTACCAGCGACGGGGGCCCTCTCGCCCCTAATAGAGCGGCCCTGCATTGGAGGCTGTAGTGATATGCTGGAGCTCGTTTGGGATGTAGATCTCGGTGTTTCTGACCTTATTGGTAAGGGATGGTACAGAGCTTATGTCAATATCAACAAGTTATGCAGACGAACAATCACAAACTGGATTGAGAGCAATTGTAGAGGCAGAAGGGTGCGTGCATCTGCGTGGTTTGGATCCAAAATGAGTTGAGACGAGGCTCAGGTGCAATGTCCTTCGGAATGTAAGTGGTATTAGTCGTACAAAGATGTAGTGAAGTGTGATGTGAGCGGTGACCTAATTTTCGAAGCAGCATGGATGAAGACGCGCCGGACTACCATGTGCCGCCTGCTCCAGCGAAATTCGAATCCATGTCGGCTCCTGCCGAGATGTCAACAGTGAGCCGAGAGGGTCTAGCGGCTGTAGTTGCCCGGACAACACTGAGGTGGGGGACGCCAGCTTCCACCATCCCCACCGCCCACCACGACTTACGTATACTGACAAGTCCAAAAAAGACGACAAGGCGTTCATGTAGCTCTGAGCAACTATTCATATATCTAGATTGAGTCTAAAGTCCATATACAACTGCATATCTACCACTGAGATGTTGGGATTGTCCTGTGGAGTTACGTTTGGATGGACAGGTCTTCAAGTTACCATGGACCTGTATTCGTACCTGCCTTAGCCTTTGCTCGCCTCCTGTAGCTACTGATTTCCTCATGCTGCAGGTGCATCGCCGACCTATTGTGAAAGTTGGGGGCATGAGCATGGATCTCAACGATTCTGATTGTACCGAGGAGGTGAGTAGATATGAGCAGGCATGTTAAAAGCAAG